ACACAAGTTGTAAAGCATTCTCCAAGAAATACAAGCCTTCTTCCAAAATTCTCTAAGTCTTTCTTTACACTCTCTTAGCGATCTTAAGTTCAAAAGGCTTACTTGAGCTTACAAAATCTTTAAAGAGTAGTGAGTAAGTTGTCAAGTGCTGCACGGAGCTTTAGTGAGACTCTGTCATGACCCGAGAGCACCCCCTAGTCGTAACATGGCATACTTGACCGCGAAGGGATCGCATGCAAGCCCTTAGCATTATCATATCATAAGATCGTAGAAAGGTAGGGAGAATTTAAAACTTTATTTAAAGCATAATGCCAAAAATATTTCATAAAAACGGAAGTCTTTCTAACATCTTTGTCTCAAACCATCTATGAATAACATGAATAAAAGTCTTGGGACACAGCCCACAAAAAAAGTCTAAAACATAAGAAAAGACATAAATGAAACATAAGGGGTTTGTCCTCGAAGCTATGAGGACTCACCAATCTTCAATCTTCTTGTACTTAGGAGCCTAGCCTCCAAGCAACTCAATCTCCCAACACCCTACATTTGATTAGAATGTAGGCAATATGCGTTGGTACAAAATGTACCAAGTATGAAAGCTAAAATACCAACATAAAACATCTCAAAGGGGTTAGTCAACATAAGACATAATCATAAGAGACAATAACATAATCATAACATAAACTCCAACACAAGCATCATATCATAACAATTCATCATAAGACGTACATAAGTTCATACTTCAACCCTTAGTCTTTCATATTCAAGTGAACTACTTCACAAGCCACCTCCAAGTATACTTGTACAAGGCCAAGATAGCATCCCATAATACTATCTAAGCTAAGTACCTTCTCTTTGGTCATTCTTGGTCATAGTCCACCTTCATAGTTAAGACCTAGGTTTTCATGACATAAGAGCACTAAACCCCTAAGTAACCCCAAGGCACACTTGTGCAATGCATGTGGGGCATCCCATAATACCACACACACTAAGCATATCTTGAAGCCACCCTAATCATATTTACCATTTCTAGGTGTCACTATAGACCGACTTCATATTGGCAAGGAACTTATCAACTTAAGTCAATCATATCATGGAAGGCAACTATAGCAACAATCCAAGCTAGGCATACATCACATAAGATCACACTTCATAAGTAGCTTCAAGTCATACTTGTGCCATGTATGAATGACATCCCATACTACCACTCACACTAAGTACTCATTTAGGCTAGCTTACTCAATGCTAATTATTTATCATTCTAGACTATCAAAGTATAACATACTATCATGCTAGACCTAACCACCATGGAAAACATCCTATCATACAATCCAAGCTATCAAAGGAAGGATACAAGTATACCAACCTAGCCACCATGCAACCATTCAATAAGATGCAAGCTATCCTTAGGGGAGTGTGAATCCTCAACCCTAAGCTATCCTTAGGAGAGTATGATGTCTCAATCCTAAGCTACCATGAAATGGTCTTGGCCTAACCAAGTCAAGCTACCATGAAATGCATTCTAACAATGCTAGTTCAAGCTACCCATTGGAGAGTATAGATCCTCAATCCTAGGCTACCATGCCTATACTAATGCAAGCTACCATAAAAAGCATCCTACCAATGCTAGTTCAAGCTAACCTTAGGAGAGCTAATTCCTCAATCCCAAGCTACCATGGGATCTACCATCCCAAGCTACATAATTCAACTATCCAAGAAGGAATCATAAGACTCAACCTCAAGCTATTCTATGCTAACGAGCACAATCAACAAACTAGTCTAGATCACAATACACATCATTCATAAGCCTTAATCATAGACAATTCTAAGCATAATTCATCATAGAGTCCCAATTCTAATCATTCAATTCATATTATATCATACATGCATAAGCCTAGTTCAATTCATGATTTCAAATTCCCATTCTTGGATAAGTTCTATACATGGTGATAACTCTAGAAAATCTATCAAGAACCATCAATTTCTCATCAAAAGATCTAAACCCACATACTTAGAAAATTAGGGTTAGACAAGGAATTCACATAAATTCTTCATAATATCATGAATCAATACTAAATTAATCATATATGAGTAGTATCCAACACTTTGGAATCGTACCCACCGAAAACCCATACATTGGAAGTAACCCTAGCTTAAATTGGGGTTCTTCTTCACAAATCTTCTGGGTTTCTAGGGGACTCTATGGGTGGAAGAACCCATAGATGAAAATCTAAACATACCTTAAACAAATCCCTAGCAGAAGCCTTAAGCAATGGAGCCTTGGATCTTGACCTTAGCTTCAACCCTAGCTTCTTCTTCAATGGAGGTTCTTCTTAGAGAGAGAAATATTTGAAAGAGGAGTGATTTGGGTTTTTGAATTGAGTCTAATGTAAAGTTGCTTAAACTTGGGGTCTAAGGACTTAAAATAGTCTTTGTATGTGAATAAAAGACATACAAAACGACCCCCACTTAAACCTAGTCGAATAGGATTTTACCCAAATGTCCCTCACTTGGCAGCCCCATCCCAGGCACCACAGCCACTTGGACGGTCCGTGAAGGGCACCACGGTCCGTGGTGGTGCCCGTGGTCCCTTGAACAGTAGCTCCACCAACTTGCCAAGACCCTAAAACACCCTAAAACACTAAGGCACCTTCACAGGCACTTTGACGGGTCGTGGTCAAGCAAACGGCTCGTGAAGTTCCTTGTGAACTTGGGGCAAAGTCTTGGCCTGGCCTCCCAAGTGTCTAAGGCATCTCCAAGGACCCCTTCACGGACCGTGGTCCACACCACTAGTCGTGAAGGTGGTCGTGAACCTTGGGCAGTAGCTGCCAAGGTTGGGCAGCCTTGGCCCCTTGGCATAGGCTTTCCCTTTTGCCTGGGTAGTTGCCCTTCCCATGCACACCCAAACTCTTAAAGGTCATCTAGGCTACTAGGTCTAATACATATCTTGATGTTCAACCATTAAACTCTTCATTCTAAACACATAAAATCTCATCTACAACTCTATTTCCCATACATCAAGTCTTAGAACCCTAGCTTGTGGCTCTAGTTTAGTCTACAAATTTTCGGGGCATTACAGACTCTAAGTCTGTGACACCAGGGTCGCTTAGGCGGCTACACCAACATCAGACACCAAAAAATTTAGCCAAGTCCTAGTGGACTTTGCTTGGGTTCTTGGGATTGGTTCGAAAACTCGTGCATACACACGAACTATGCTACCCTTCTAAATTCGGCATTCCAAACTCAATGTAGATGTCAAAACTTCAAACAGAGGTATAGGGCTAGGCGTTTCGTCGGTTTGGTTCGGTTTGTAAATTTTGGTTCGGTTTTTCAGTTTTCGGTTTGGCCAAATGTGAAACCAAACCAAAATGAAATAAATTCGATTTGGTTAGGTTATTATAATTTCGGTTCGGCTTATTTTGGTTTGGTTTTCGGTTTAACCAAATTTAATTAACAGTGGCATGTGGCATATGGATAATTTTAGTAAATTGAAAAAAAAAAGCTTCAGAAATGCAGGAAATGAAAAAAAAAGGCATCAGAACAAGTGCAGACTTCAGATGTGTAGGTATTTAACATTGTCATATTCTTTTGCATATTCTCATCTCTGCAGGAACTGAACAAGTGCATATTCTCATCTCTTGTGAGCACAATTCAACAAGTGCAGGACACAACTCACAAGTCTGTCACAACTTACAACTTTTGTAAGCACAACAAGTGCATATTCTCATCTCTTTACAAGCAGGTCACAAGTCACAACTCACAAGCCTTTTACTTTCACAACTCACAGAAAAGCAGAAATGGAAAGCAGTTTGACCAATGTTGCCGCAAGCATTTGTTGCCAAGGAGCAGACAAATTTCAACAAACATTTAACTTGCAACTTCCAATATCATTGACTAAAATATCCAAACAAAACTGATAATTCTTGTCCAAGCAGTCCAGCAGGCAGCAACATTAACAAACTAGTCGAGAATAAGAATAAAAAGACTATCAAGAGTCAAGATAACAACACTAGAAAATTCAACAAACTTGTGCCCAACCCTAAAATATAGTTAGTTACAAACTACAGTTGCCAGTAGGCAACATTGCAATTTGCAGCAACCAAAAGATTTAGAAAACCAACAAAACATTGTTGTGCAACCTCCAGTGCAATAGCTCCCAAGTTCCAAGTTCCAATAGATAGCAACCAAGAAAATAACAAAACATTGATGTGCCTGCGAGAAAATAGAACTCTTTAGACAAATGATCTACATTTCATAATAAAATATATAAAACTATCAAGAAAGTTTTTGTAAATAAGTTCTTTACTTACCCATTACCACGCATCACTAGTTGATAGTTGAACTTACAAATTGCAACTATATATCAATAATACTAGATTCAGTCCCACTACAAGCAAAATCTAAAAGAATATGAAAGAATTTGTTAGTTGTTAAGAAACATAAGAAAGAAAATTATTTTCAAGATAATTAATACAAATACCAAATTCTTACCAAGTTTAAGTTGCTGAGGATACTCTAAATCTTCCTCAATATTGATTGGAAAAGGCTCACTTCTAAGCCAATCTTGAACACAAATAAGAGATTGCGCAAGTTTAGGAGTTAATGAACTCCTAAAGGGATCAAGAAAACGACCTCATGTGCTGAATGCACATTCTGATGCGACGCTTGAAATGGGAATGGCTAACACATCACGAACCATCTCCGCGAGAATAGAAATCTCTGCTCATTAACTTTCCACCACATTAATATATCAAATTCATCACTATTTGGCTCAATATCTTCAGCAAGATATCTTTCCAATTCTGATTTACTACCTGAACTTCCACTAACTTCTTTATGCTTCTCAAATTGTTGTTTCGTTCTCATTCTTCCTCTATTTACAAAGTTGTCACAACCACTCACACTAGATATACTTGATGAGTTGTCAGATGAATTGGGTGAAGATGGTACATGTGAAGAGCTTTTTGAGGATTTCTTAACATAATAATCAAACAAGTTTTTCATGTATTTTTCACTTCTGAACATAGCTTGTCCCCTACTTCTTTTCCAAACATATCCACAATTGCAAATGGAACATAATCAAGCTTGTTACGGGGATCCAACACTGATGAAATAAAGATCATCTTGTTCATTTTATGTGGTTCACCCCAATACTTTTTGAACTTTTCCTTCATACTTTTTGCCATTTCTTTCAAATTACCATCTTCATTTTCCATCATCTCTTTCAAAATAAGATTAAGTTCAGCAATTTCAACAAAGTGTGTATTGCTAGTGACATAATTAGAACCAGAGACCTTCAAAGTAAGTACATAAAAAGTTTCAAGAAATTTCACCATTGACCTCACATTTTTCCAGTCAGCACTTTTCCAGTCAGCACTTGTAAGAATATTTGCACTAGTTCTATCTTCATCTTCAGAAGAAATAGAACAAAAGGTACGAAGATGATTCAAGTATCCAATATCATAAAAACTATATCTTTCAAATGTAAGCTCATAATGTTGTGCTACATCAAGCATCGAATATGTAGAGTTCCACCTAGTGGGAACATCTAAACACAATGATTTCTTACAAGCTATCAATTGAGATTCACAACATTCTTTGAACTTTCTAAGTCTTGCGGGAGATTGTTTAATGTACTTCATGGCTTGTCTCACTAGCTTGACAGACTTACCAATTTCCTTCAACCCATCTTGCATAATAAGATTAAGGATATGTGCCATACACCTCACATGAAAATGGTCACCATCCATAATGTTAATTCCCCAATTACTCAATTGTTTATACATTTCTTTCACAGTAACATCATTAGAACTAGCATTATCAACTGTAATAGTAAACACATTATCCAAACCCCATTCAAGCAAACAATTAGTAATGCAAGATGCCATATCCCCACCTTTATGACTAGAAATAGGACAAAAATTTATTATTCTTTTATGCAAAGTCCAATTTCTATCTATAAAGTGGGTTGTCAACCACATGTAGTTGATTTTTTGTATAGAGGTCCAAGTATCTGTCGTAAGACAAACTCTGGGACGTGCTTCTTTGAAAACCTTCTTAAAAAGTTGTCTTTCTTCAAGCTATAGTTCATAACAATCTCTCGTCACGGTTCTACGAGAAGGAATATGAAATTGTGGCACTGTAACTCTCATGAAGTTTTTAAAACCCTCTTTCTCAACAAAACTAAACGGTAGATCGTCAACAATTATCATTTTGGCTAAAGCTCTCCTACTTTGTGCTTGGTCAAATTTCCAAGTGCTAATCACCCCTTCCTTTGCTCTTGTTGAAGATGGTAGAAAATTAATTAGATTTTGACCTTTATCTACGGTGTCACGAGGAAATTTAGGACATATTCTCATATGATTATTCTTTGACGATGTACCATTAGTCGATGTAGAAGCTGCATAAGGTTTCTCACAATACTTGCATTTGGCTTTCTTAGCTCCACTTTCATCAGTGAACTTGTCAAAATGCTTCCAACAAATAGCTCTAGGTTCCATGTTTTTTCTTTTATTTGAAGTATCAACATCAACTTCAACCTCATTGGGAGATGAGGTGTTAGGTATGCTGTCATTTGAACCTCCACTTTCACTTATCTTACTTCCAATTTGTGTCAATACTAGTAAAAAAAGTAGAAAAAAAACAAGAAATAACAACAATCAGAAAGACGCAGTACATTACAGTTCACAAATAATCACAAAGTTGCATACTTGCATTCAATGATTAAACTCATGCAGTTCAGTTGCGGTTCAGAACTCAAAAGAACAATAATCACGTAGTACATTACAGACTTACAGTTCACTAACCGACTCACTGATCAGTCCCTAACTAACATACACTTAAACATAATAGGCAGAACTTTCATGGACCATGGTAGAGGATCAGGATACTACCAACTTGACTAACAATAAGCAGAGGCATAATAATATTATTTCACATTAATCCCCAATGTACAAGTCCCCGTAGTTTATACTACAATCAAGCAACTAAACTGCTAACTTCTAAGTGCTAAGATATTGTTCCATATGAACTCTTTGTTATTGATCAACACTCAATTGTCTTTTCCAGTGATTTGAGCAATCACTGGAAGATGTTGCGGGCGTTTTGTCGAACACATTTGTTCTCACCCAAAGTGGTAAAGTCACTAGTCAGTGGTCACAGACTGCAATGAGGGAGAAAAAAGTGTCGGAAATGATACATTTTCTTAGGTCCAAGAAAGGGGAAACTGTGAAAATTTCTGAAATTTTGTTTGGTACCATTTTAAACATGTTACGGAACCTTTTCTTTTCAAAAGATTTATGTGATTTGAATTATGAACGAACACTAGTGGGATCAAACGTGTTTTAACTTTTTCATTCCCCTATAACTAAATAAAGATATGTTGTTACATACTTACATTTACAGGGTATGACAAATTGATCAACTTACAAGTACACTGTATACCCTTCAATACTAACTACTCAAGTACTCATCTTGTATTTAAAATTGAATATAGCATAATAAAGATTTCTAGATGAAGTTAAGACTTAAGTCGCGATGAGCAGTGGCCAATGAGCAGTGAGCACTGACCTTCGACTATTGAGTCGCGAGCACTAAGCAGACAACAGTTGTGGGTTGCGAGTACTTAGCGTCATCGAGGATCCAGGAGCAGCGGCAGGCTTGAGACGACGAGTTGAGAGATGAGAGTTGAGAGACGAGCTCGTAGATGCGGCGTAACTGAGAGTCTAAGATGAGAGTTGAAACTTATGGACTACGGTGGTCACATATTAGGGATTTCTAAATTCAGATTGGAATTTGGGCTGGGCATGGGATATTGGGCTGAGAGTTGTATTTTTATAAAAGGAATGGGTTGAGATTTAATGAAGGGGTAAAGAATATATATATCTAATTTTGATTTTTCCGGTTAACCGATTTTTTAAGCTAAAAAATTGAAAACCGAATCGAAAAACTAAAATATTGAAAATCAAAATCGAAACCGACCGAAATAACCAAAAAACCAAAACCAAAACTGAAATTTAAAAAAAATCGGTTCGGTTTGGTCGGTTTTTTTGGCTTTAACCATATTATGCCCAACCCTACAGAGGTAGGTTCCATACCCAAGGATCTATTTTAGACAAAATCCACAAGATAGCTCAAATTGAGCTCGAAAGTGTCGGGACCCAAACCACGGGTCTTTCTAGACCAAATCAATGTTCCAGAGATAACGTAACCATCAAAATTGCTTTTTGAAACCGTTTGTCTAAAGTTGTGAACAAAGTCAAACGTTTTAAATTTCAAAAGCTCCAAAACATAAAAATCACATAAAACCAAATGAACGACCAGGTGACTGAACTATTAGCCCTAGCAAGTCATAAATGACTTAGGGTCTCTATATGAACGCTCTAAACGTCGAAAAAATATCACAAAATAGTAAAAATGTCCTAGAGGGTCATTACAACATCCACTACTAAAAGAAATTTTGTCCTTGAAAGTAAAGAGTGAAGAAGTACCTTAAGTCTTGAACATGTGGGGATACTTGCCCGCAAGTCATGCTGAGTCTTCCAGGTAGCTTCCTCAATCGGACAGGGCCTCTGCTAGACCTTAACCGTATGTATTTCTCTCAAATGCAATTATCTGACATCTCTAGCCAAAATAGCAACTAACTCTTACACAAAGGTCAAATGGTCATTTAACTAGACTACGTCATATGGAAGCACATGGGAAACATCAAGAACTACCGGAGAAGCGTAGATATATGGAAAACTAGATGAACAACCGAATAAGTTAGTGGAAAGGCCAATTCATATGCAACATCACCAACAACCCAAATGATCTTAAAAGGTCCAATATACATGGGGCTAAGCTTACCCTGCCTCCTGAATCTCATCACACCCTTTAAGGGCGACACTCAGAGGAAGACAAGATCACCAACACCAAACCTCAAAGGATGATGCATACGGTTAGCATAACTCTTCTACCTACTTTGAGCCTCTCGTAGCCTATTCGAAATAACACAACAAACTTAGGCCAAAGCATCCTGAAGCTAATTTGTGCCACTTGACCTAGGATCTAAAGTCTTAAACCAACCAACAAGAGATCAACAATGCCTACCATATAATGCCTCAAATGTGGCCATGTGAATACTCGAATGGTACATGTTGTTATAAGCAAACTCCACCAAAGCTAAAAATTGATCCTACTACCCTCTAAAATCTAACACAAAAGCTCGAAGCATATCCTCCAAAACCTGAATGGTTCATTTCGAATTCCCATTGTTCTATAGGTGAAATGTTGTACTAAGATCAACCCATGTACCCAACTCCTTTTGGAATGCTCTCCTGAAGCTAGAAATGAACTAATAACATCTATCATAGATAATGGAAACCGCACCCCATGAAGACGAACCACCTCTTAGACATAGATACTGCTAACCTCTCAATACTGTAGAAAGACATAATAGGCAAGAAATGAGCCGACTTGGTCAATTGATCCACGATGACCCAAATAATAAGAACACCTCAAAAAGTCCTAGTGACCCCATAATGAAGTCCATAGTGATCCTCTCCCACTTCTTCTTATGAATGGGTAATCTCTGAAACTTATCAACAAGCCTCAAATGCTCGGTCTTCACCTGCTGACAACACATGTTATGGGTTATGTTGTCCACTATATCCCTCTTCATACCACTCCACCAATAATGCTACCTCAAATCTTTATACATCTTAGTTGTGTCTGGGTGAATGGAATACTTGGAGTTGTGAGCATCCTAAAGTATCTGAATCAAATCCCCAACTCTAGGAACACAAATACGACCTCCAAATCTTAAAACACCCTTAGAGTCTAAGGTCACCTTACCACCATCACCACTCAGAACTTGATTATGGATAGTCACCAAACCCATATCCTCGAACTGTCAGCCATAAATCTCCCTAACAAAATGGAATGAGCCTCAATACAAGTGTTTCATAAGCTAAATGTGTGGGAAGATGTTCCATAGAATCCCAGAAGCTTGGAGGAAAAATGCGCTCAAGATTAGTCAAGATGAGAGGAATATTTCTTTCTAATTGTCTCATATGTTCCTCAGTTATTGCGGTAGAAGTGAGATCTTTAATAAAAAACTCAACTCTGTCAATGGTTCCCACACATTTCGTGGAAGCAAATCTTGAAATGCAATAGGTATGAGTTGTTGCATAAATACATGACAATCATGACTCTTCATACCAAAGAGTTTAAGCTTGTTCATGTCAACACATCTTCCCATGTTAGACACATAACCATAAGGAAATCTCAACTCTTGCAACCACTTACAAAGCACTTTTTTGGCATTATCATCTAGCATGTAACAAGCTTTTGGGTACTTTTTAGTAATTTCATCCTGATGCAACTCTGGACGATTGCAAAGTACTTTTAAATCTTCTCTAGATTTGGTATTGTCCTTTGTTTTTCCCTTGACATTCATGATGGTGTTAAAAATGTTATCGAACACATTTGTTTCTATGTGCATCACATCAAGGTTATGCCAAATAAGATTTGTTTTCCAGTAAGGTAAGTCCCAAAATATACTTCTTTTCTTCCAACCACATAAACTACTCTTTGAGATTCTTGCATTCACCTTGTCAGAACCAAGTTCTGTCACTTTCATGAGTCCCAAATCCTCAATATCTCTAAGTATTTGTAAACCTGATTGTTCAGTAGATGCAACCTTATGTACTATTTGACCCTTCTAGAACCACTCTTTGTTTTTTCGCCATGGATGATCTGGTGGTAAGAACTTTCTGTAATTGTCAAACCATGAGACTTTTCTACCATTGGATAGTGAAAAAGCATCAGAATCTTTCAAGCAATAAGGACAAGCTAATTTTCCTGCTGTACTTGAACCTGACAACATTGAGTACGCTGGAAAATCACT